TATGTTTACTTAACTGGGCAAACTTCTACAGCATTTATGGAGTGTTTTAATCTCAGCACAAGCTCTTCCCGGTAGACACGGACCTTGGCCATTGTCTGTGATACCTTTATAATCTCACTACTGAAACCGGTTACTAGTAGTTCTGAACAGTTTTTGACTTCCCCTTGTCCGGGTCATATGCTAGGCAATCTTCTGTGGTTAGAAAGATAAAAACATAATAAAAACGGGCATATTGAGCCAACAATATTTCTCGCTCTCAGCACTTTATATGCGCACTTAAAACCTATCCAAAGTGATTGAGAACACACGTTAAATCAACCGGACAGTGATCTTAATTTCCATGAACGGAAATTTGTCCGATCGCATTGTGGCGGTCTGCATGAGTTTACATCAGCGTAAGTGGCTTGTATGGATGCTGATTCCGACTGGGCTTCTATGTTTCGAGGTTGTTTTGAAAACATGCTCCAGTAGAATACATTCAACTGGATTTGGTAAACCACGTTCTGTTCATGAGTTGCGAGTGTGTATCGCGATAAAAGTGTTGAGATCCTACCTAGTATTCCCGAGCAAACAATTGCCTTGCCGTTGAAAATAGCTGAAAGAAGCAAGACAACTATCGTTCCTTGTTGAAATCGTCCGTCTTCCAGTTCGTGTGTAGCTGCGGTCTCGGAGTGTTTTCAGATACAATTTAAATACTATCTATCAAATGTCACATGCGTACATGTATGTGCATGAAGTCATACAGTATAATCCCGGTTGTTCTTTGATGCCTCAAATCCCTGGAGACGGTTTGCCTGAGGGTCAGGAAGAGTTGTTGTTTTTGGCTGGGAGAAGCTCTGCTGTGAAATGATGCGATATGCCAAAACCGGTTCAAACCGGAATTGACGAGCTTTTTCGGTAACTAGCTCATCCGTGGATGTCGGAAATCCTATTTGCTTTCCGCGGACCGTGAAACATAAAAATCACCGAAGGATACTCAGGGTGCGTTAGTCACCATTTCAGTGGGGGATTATGGATTAATCGCGCACAATGTGCGCATCAATTCCCTTCTGACGATGCTTGTTCTGATTGAGNGAGTGAACCCAGGCTGCTTACAGATCGTAAACACCAAGTATCGTCCAATAGCTGCAGTCATCAGTAAGTCGTTCATTCCATTCCCGATCAGATGCACGGTCTGCAGTTGATTATTAAGTGGCAGATCTGAGAAAGACATTTTTCGTTGATTCCACCTCCAAAAGGCTGTTTTTCTACCAACTGGTTGATTATGCATTTAGTATTATATATCAAGTGCATATCTAGAGATGACGCATAAACGTTGGAATCTGTCTTTGAAGCCCACTAACCTAACGAAATGGTTCAAATTAGGCTTGTGATATGCCGGTATTTCATCGATCAATAACAAAACTATTAACGCAGTGATATAAACAGGCGTTGCAATAACTTCCATCAC